TATAATCATTTTTCTGAACATTAGAATTTTCAAGGGACTTAAAATGTAAAGTTTTAGCTTAATGGGCTAATTTTTGGGCTTTTCGGCCCAATAAGCCTCAAAATGCGAAAAATGATAAATTTTAGGGGCTGAAATGAAACTTTCTGTAAAACAGGGGGTACTTAGCATGACAAAATCATTTTATGAGTCAAAAATGCTTTTCATTATCAAAAAGGACCAAAAATGTAAAGTTTTTAGATTTTGGGCCAAAACTGTAAAAGTTGTGAAAAATGGGGCTCTAACCGAGAAACACTATTCTGGAAGGGCTGAAGCTGTCAACAAAATAAATTTTGGGTTAAAAAATGTGTTTTCATCAAATAAATAATACAAAAGTGTCAAGAAAAGGTTTTAAGGACTAAAAATGCAATTCTTTTATATAAAAGGACCAAAAGTGTTATTTTTATAAAAGAAGGGTAGTGAAAAGGTCAAGTTCCACTTTTAAACAAATTAATTCATTGATACAAAATACAAGATCCACGACTACTGACGAAACGGAAAACAAATACACTCTCAACAACAAATATCGTTACAAACGAAGTGATTCGGTCTCGAATCAATACAAAACAACAAGCGTTAAACCAAACCATCTAAATAATACGCGATAACTACGATGAGCAAACTTACAAACTTTGGGCTTGGAAGTTTCAAATCATGCTTGTTGGGCCTTGCTAGCCCATTAACATGATCTTTGGGCCCAAAGGGAATATGCTTATGTGCTATTGGGCCTCCTATGACCCGATTTCATGTAAAAGGACTTTCAATGGCTCTAGTATCGCTAGTGAGGTCAAGAAATCAAATGCGAGTTGGGCCAACGTGCCTTTCGCATTCCCGACAGCCTAAATAACTCACGGAATATAACGGGACTTCGTACTCCCTTTTTCCTCGTTTGTTAGGCTTACGAGTAATCAAGGTAAATAGATTCAGGACGTTAATCAAAAGTAATCATGGTTGTTGGATTAAGTGAGTAGTAACGGGCGACGCCTTTAAGGATCGTTTGAAACCTGTAGTTATAAACTAGTCATTTTCAAATGCATGATTATAGCGACTCACAAACCCTAATTAATCCAAAGCCACCCGCGTAATCAAAAATCATTCGTCGTGACGGTATAACAAATTGAGAATTCACTGTGTTTTAGGTAATGGGAAAACATCGGGTTTTCGTGGGAAGTTCAACATTTTCACTTGCGCGATCATTACAGAAGTTCAACAATTATACATGTTTTGAAAATCAACAAGCATATATTTACAGATCTTCACACTTTTTTTAAAACATTGATGTTTTCAGAAAATATCAGATTTTCTGGGTTCTACAAACTACACCAAATCATTTTATCACAACATTGCTTATGAACTCACCAACATTTCATATGTTGACGTTTTTCAAAATTAACTTGTATTCTCAGGTAACAGGTAAACCGAAGAATAAGTACCAAGTAATGTCTGGATGTTTTGCTTATGATATCTATCAGACAGTTTATGTTATGAAATTGTAATGTTTAAAAACAATGTACCGGATGTAAACAATATCAGTTGTATTATTTCAATGCATGGCGGTGATTTATGTTATGATTCATGTATATTCATTGTGATGGTATTCAATTTAAGTCACAAGAGCCATCGGACGTTTCCGCCGTCTGGTTCGGGGGTATGACAGAAATATTGATTCATATATTCCATCAATAAATGAATAAGAATAATGATTTATGGGATTAATATATATATATATATATATATATATATATATATATATATATATATATATATATATAGGCTTAGGTTATTCTATTCAAAGTAATTATTGTGTTATTGTATGCATAAATGTGGGCCAATCAGTTTTACTTATTTTAAGAAAGTGATTAATATAGATTTAATAAAGGAAAATTGCATATTTGAAGAGATCATAGATTCTATTAATTTTAAAAATCCGATTTTACGAATTATAATTTTTTTTAATTCGGACATTCTGACAAAATATGTTTATGAGTATATTCAAAAATTAAAAATATTCTTGAACTGAAACGACCCAAAATACGACCCAAAAATTTTTGTTTAATAATTACTAAAATCATTATATCAATATCATAAAATAAAAACCCATACGTCAATATCTCAAAACCATAACAAAGTATCATGAGAAAACTGTATCAAGACTGTATCAAATCATATCTACGAAAAGCTAATCAACTCCCAGGACAAACTGAAGCGGTGGTGTGTGCGATGCCATCATCCCGAGCTCTTTCCTTTAGTTGCGGAAGTATCTGAAACCAAAACTGAAACTGTAAGCACGAAGCTTAGTGAGCTCCCCCAAACTACCACATACCATACAATAACATATAAAGCACATACTGGGCCTTGCACACTGCATCGGACCGAAGTCCGGAAACTACATCGGACCGGAGTCCGGAACTGACCAGGGCCTTGCCCTCTGCATCGGACCGAAGTCCGGAAACTGCATCGGACCGAAGTCCGGAACTGACTGGGACCTTGTCCCCTGCATCGGACCGAAGTCCGGAACTAACTGCATCGGACCGAAGTCCGGAACCGTCTGGGACCTTGTCCTCTGCATCGGACCGAAGTACGGAACTAACTGAACATAGCATAGCATAAACACATATCAACTAGCATAAACACATATATTGCATACTGCATCGGACTGAAGTCCGGAAAACATAACACATAGACATGCTTGAATCACAAAGACATCAAGCACCCTGAACTACTGCATCAGACCGAAGTCCGGAACTGACTGCTAACTAAACGGGCCGGCATTGTGGCCGTAGACCCGTTCCTACCGGAAGGAAACTCACCTCGTAGTCTGGCTGCTGAATGAACTGCTCTGGAAACTGTCTGTTGCTGCTCCGGTATCTCCCCGGCTACAATTTCCATAAGTACACTCAATCAAATACTGATAACTATACTGAGGGTAAAATGACTATTTCACCCCTGGTCAAAGTCAACCTCTTGGTCAAAGTCAACATACAGTTGACCTGACTCGTCGAGTTGGGCCGCCAACTCGCCGAGTCCCTACTCTCATTTCTCATTTCTGCTCGCTACTACTCGTCGAGTTTGGCGTAGACTCGACGAGTTCCTCTTCGATACTAACACTCAGTCAACCTGCATCCGACTCGCCGAGTTGTATGAACAACTCGTCGAGTTCTTCTTCAACATATGAACACTCTGACTGTGACTCACCGAGTTGTATGAACAACTCGCCGAGTCTGTTCTTGAGATATGAAGATTGCCTTGGACTCGCCGAGTCAGGGCACTGACTCGTCGAGTTCCTCCATGAATGAGTCTGATCTCCAACTCACTGAGTCTACCCATCACTCACTGGTTCCACTCGGCATAACTGATGAAGGGGAAAAACGGGGACTCGCGACTCGACTCGTCGAGTCCGAAGAACGACTCGCCGAGTCGGTTGCATGCAACTATTATACAGTTGATTCTGCTCAAAACCAATGCATACAACTTATAGATCTGGGTTCCTAAGGCTTGATTAACACGTAAAGATTCTATCTTTACGTGTACATAGACATCCATAAAGGTTTAAAGGCACTTAAAAGAGTAGATCTAGGGCTTTCATGAAAAATGGCTCCATAAAGGTGTTAGATCTAAGTTTTTGGGACTGAAACATGACTAGATCTGAAGGCTATTCAACCCAATGCGATCTCTCTACTATAATCAAGCTAAGAAATGGATAAGAATGGTCTAAATGGGATTTCTAATGGAGAATCAATCATAGAAACAGAAGGGATCCGATTAATACCTCAATAAACTCTGTAATGGATGCAAGATCTTGGATCTCCTTCTTCTCCTTTGGATCTAGCTTTCTTCTTCTCTTCAAAACTTCAAGATTCACACAAGAAATGCTCAAAATACTAAAGGAATAGTTAGGGTTTTCTAAATGACACTTTGAGGGTGAAGGAGGCGAGTTTGGGGCTCATAACATGGTTTAAATAGGGTGCAAAACCCGTGGATTTAGGGTTTCTTCCAGACCGACGGACTCGCCGAGTCCCGAATATGGACTCGTCGAGTAGCGTACTTACACGTGCTCGAAATCCCGACCCTACTCGACGAGCCGGGCTACAGACTCGTCGAGTCCCTCTTGAAAACTCGAAAAAGATAAACATTTAAACAACATACCAGAATTGGGGCGTTACATGAACCATAAATAATAAAAATATTCTTGAACCTATTTCTTGATCATGACTTTAAAAACTTCTTGTAGAATAACAAATTCTTAACAGACAATTGAAGAATAAAAACAAAAAATACATTATTTCTTATAGAATACGGGTAACAATTGTTAAGAATTACATTTATTGTTAAAGAATAAAACTAAAAAAACTTTCAAAACGGGAAAGAAAACACCAAAATCTAACAACGACACTAATATATTCTAAAATAATAATGTTGCTTAGAATCACTTTCAATTTTGTGGTCCGTTCTTCAAGCATCAACTTCTGTGAAAACAAAACCAAATTGTAGTTTAGATTCCAATAATGCATTAGCAAATGAAAAATAAATCAGTGAGAAAACCAAGAATTGTAGAACATGCATAAATCAATGAAAAAATATCCATACTCCATTCCAACATAATTAGAATTCATGATTCCATTCCAACAAAATTGGATTCATGATTTCATACAACATAATTAGAATTAGAATTCATGATTCCATTCCAACAGAATTAAAATTCATGATTCCATTCCAAAGGAAAAAGTATTTCCTTTTCACTATAGATGTTGTCACAAGATCAACACAACTCACCCCTCTCTTCTACGTTTCCTATTAATGAACCCCATGTTTCCTTTCATTCTACATGGATTCCAGTCAAGAAATACAAGAACAATTTTGTTCTTGCCCTTATGTACCCAGCAAACCAACAAAAAAAGAGGGCATTTCCCCCATTCGTGTTCTTCCTTCTCCCATTCCCGTGAAAACAACAAACCCAATCACCTCTACAAACACCCATCAATTTTCTGTCAAAAGCAAACCCAAAATATCTTGTTCAATTCATAGATTCATGATAAAACAAACAACATCCCAAAACACCATTTTTACCTATTTTGATTAATTGGAAAAGAGAGAGAGAGAGAGAGAGAGAGAGAGAAAAAAGAATATTCTTTTACCTGTTGATGATCAATGACCACAACTAAACCACCAAACCGAATCGATTGTTGCCATTGTGAGCATTCGACCATGCCACCACCGGAGCCCGCTGTAACCACCTTCGTCCTTCCTCTGCTCCATTCGTGAATCCTTCTTCCTTCTTCGTGTCTTGATGAAGATCGAACCAACCAAGAAATGAACAAATTAGATATTTTGTCAACCAGCAAGTTTTGTGGCTTTAGATCTCTGATATTTTTTCCAACAGTTATTAAACCAAACAAAAAAAATAGGGCAGGGGAATATGAGAGGTAGAGATTAAGGAAATGGATACCTGTGAAGAACACCGTGACCATGGCAGTGAGTAACACCTTTACACAAATGAAACAGAAAGCTCTGGATCTGAGAAGGGGGTAGAGGAGAGGGATTAGGGCCCTTGCGCTGAGAATCGATGAACTTCTTGAGATCGGTGTCCATATACTCAAAGACGAGGTAAAGAAGGGGTTTGTCGTTATGGTGGATGTGTTGGACGCAGATGAGGCGGGCGATATAGATGGAATTGGAGAGCATCTGGAGGAGGGAGATCTCGTGGAGGGCGGTGGGCGGGATGCCTTCCTCGTCCATCTCTACACGGGTTTTCTTGAGGGCTACGAGTTGGCCGGTTTGTAGTCTATTCCAATTTTGCAGATCGGCCAAGATTTGGTTTTTAGATAAAGAAGGGAACGAGATTTAAACTGGAGAGATTAGGTTAAAAGTCAATACCATGATTATAGGGATTATTTTTGGAAGTTACTAAACAAATTACTAAATTACCCTTATTTATTTATTTAATTATTTAATTATTTATTTAATTTTGATTGACCCACATTTATGCATACAACAACACAATAATTAATTTAAATACCTGAACCTATCTCTCTCTCTCTCTCTCTCTCTATATATATATATATATATATATATATATATATATATATATATATATATATATATATATATATATATATATATAATCATAAATGAATATGTAAGTTGTATTTATGAATAAAATTGTAATTGTAAAGACAAGGTAGAGTTAAAAAATCACCTAAAGTTTAATCATAAATGAATAAAATACATTTGTAATCATATGAACAAGTTACAATCCAGAGATAAAAATTTTCAATACGATTATTATCATAAAAAATTACAATACAATTATAGTCATTGCTTAATTCATATATACAAACCTTACATTATACTTGTAGAGTATTCACTTTGATTATATTTTTGGTAAAATAGTTTGTTCAAAGACTAAGTTAACCCTCTTATCCTTATTATTTTTTTAATGTTGTTGTTTGTTATTATAGAATACTCACTTAGCTTTCCGGGAATATAGAACATATGTTCCAATGATTTTTCTATATTTTTTCCAATGAATTTTACAAGTTGACTTTAAAAAAGCAGTCAAAATTTTGCACTAATCTGCAAAGATGGTCACCATAACGCTAGAAGTAGTGTGGATCATTCCTTAGCTAAAATATATGTAAAACTAGACTCCCTTCTCTAAACACAGTCCATGACCATATGAAACATCCCAAAAATCACCAGAAATTTTAACTTTTCAAAAACAACCCATAACCATAATTGTTTACAAAACAATTATTTCAAAAGTGTAATTTTAGTAATAAGAGTATCCGAAAATCGAAACAATATAAAAACCAAAGGATCCGCACGGTCACGTCTTCGCCTTGTCACGGTTATCTGAAATACCTGAAACAATAAACTGAAATCGTAAGCCAAAGCTTAGTGAGTTCCCCAAAGTACCAACACACATAACATGTAACAACATATATTGGGTCCACAACTAACATACTGGATTACCCCTGAGCCCACATTATGAGTTTGGTTTGCCTTCCAGGCCCACAACTCATTTTTGCCATGCTCCCGAGCCCACAACATAAGTTTTTCTTGCCCTTCAGGCCCACAGCTTATGTTTGACTTGCTCCTGAGTTTGTTGGCTACTGCACGAAGTAGTACTACCTCAACCCAGCCATACAATGTCGACATATACATAACATATAACCATATAACAACAACAGATAATCATGCAGGTCTTAACAGATCACTACATCATAGTAACATCCTAACCAAAGATACATAATCTACCGGGTCGGCATTGGTGCATTCGACCCAAAAGTACATTGAGGAAAACTCACCTCAATCAGAAGATAATAAATCCCACACCCAAGTCTTCTGCACCACGGTTCCTCACACTTTAACACAATCAATACCAACCCTAGTTACTTTCTAAGGTTAAGCCCATAGTCATGAGGCCCAATAATGTCCCAAGTTCAAACTAGGCCCACTAATGGCCCAACCCATCTAGAGAAACCTAAGGCTCAAATGTTCCAAAATAGCCTCAAGTCAACGATCCAAACTCCAAAAGTTGATCCTCACGACGTGAGCAGCTCGTGGTCATGTTGTGGGCATCAACTCGACCCAGTCCCAACTCAGTGGGTCAACTTAACCCATCAATTCGATTCTAACCATTATCACATCGTGACATCTTCCCGAGTCACGTCGTGACCTAATCTGTACAAACAGTCGGGATTGGCAAGCATCCTCACGACGTGACAGGCTTAATCCTCACGTCATGAGCACTGCACTGACCAGATTTAAGCATTAAGCTCTTATTCCTTACGGCCATAACTTGGGACTTTCCAAAGGGTCTTCCCTTACCCAAAGGATGATAAAAATCATAGATTTTTAGCCATGCATGTCCAATGCATGACTTAAACACTCACTAGGTCAAAAGAGGGAAAAATGAGATCTAAGCTCATGCTTGGAGTCTCAAACTATACCAAAACTTAGATCCAAAGACTATATCCCAAAGAATGACTCAGTAATCCATTAAGTTGCCAACTTTATGGATCCCATGCATGCAATCCATCACAATCATGCAAAAAGGAGCTTAAAACTTATATCTAACATGCAAGAGGTAAAACGATCAGAACTTTATGACTTACAATGGTCCAAAAGCTCAAGAAGAAGGTAAGGTAGTAGTTGGAACAGTGTTGTAAAACACGTTGAGTTGGCCGATTACACGGTCGAGTACTCCCTTTGAGTCAGGGTCAGTGTTTGTTGTACATGTGACCTATAGAGTTGGTATACGGAGTTGTGTTGTATCCAAATATATTTTCAGACCGAGAGGTACGTTTCACTCATTGTACTTGTGGGTTGAAGGCACCAATGTCGGCCCACTATATTATGTACCCTGCTGTATAGGATGTTGTTACGCGGTAGTGATATGTTAGATTTGTATCCTGATATATAGGATGTTGCTAGGCGGTAGTGATTTGTAGATCTGCCTATTTGTCTATTGACTGGTTATATGATTATCTGTTTGCTGAATATATGTTATATGTTATTTGTCGACATAGTGCGGTTGGGTTGAGACTGTACTGCTTTGTGCGGTCAATCAACAAACCCGGGGAAATCCAAATGGGAGGTCGTGGACTCAGTATGCGATGCATGCGACAATCCAACCGGGAGGTTGTGGGCTAGGGCAATCCAACCGGGAGGTTATGGGCCAGTGTAACACCCATAAAAATTCAAGCCAAATTAAAACCTTTTTATACATTCTAAAACCATCAAGTTATTATCGTTTGTTTTCAAAATAGTAGTCTCTATATGCATATGCGTAACAATACGATTTTTAATTTTTTCAAAAAACACAATTTTCGATGGAGTGCGTTTTTACTCATCCAATAACCAAAAGCAACCAAACTGCACCGATTTTAATATATCAAATAATCATATAAAAGATTTATTTTTTAGTTAAAATGATATATATATATATATATATATATATATATATATATATATATATATATACACACACACACACACACACACACTATAATTACTACGATGCTAATTGTTAGTTACTTTGGAAAATGGTGAAATTTAGTGTTTTTAAAGAGAAAATTACAAATTTAGTCATTTTCCCTAATTATTTTTCACTTAATAGCAAAAAATTAACCTTTAGCCAAAAATAACCATCAAAATATTAGATTATTAGCGAAAACTACAATTTCAGCATGAAACATACGGTTTCGTGATTTCCGGTTTTTAATGAAATACGGTTGGGGGCATTGAGCTACTGTTTCAGAACCCGTCTACAATTTGAAGGCCCTTTAACCCATTATATATAAAGTTGAAAATTTGCATGTAAGTCATTTTCCATAGTTTGAAGCTAGAGAAACTCTCTCAATGGTAGCTCTAGCTCTGAACAACATGCGGTATTTTCTCGTTTTTTTTTTTTTTTTTTTTTTTTTTTTTTTTTATTTAATATGAAATCTATTAGCATTGGTTACATTTTTTTTTTTGCAAAAAATGAGGAAAAAAACGGATTATGTAGGTGTTATTAGCCACCTATGGTGTACAAGATGTTAATGTACAAATTATACATTATCAAGTTGTAAACCGTAGGTGGCTAACAACACCTACGGTTTCCGTTATTTTTGTTTCTTTTTGTTTGTTTCAAACTTGTTTAGTGATATAGTTGTTTATAAAGATAGGTTATTTGGGTTGATTATGTAGTTTGATCGAAAAAATAATTGAAAGTCAAGAACAAAACAATAGTTATTCGTAGGAAACAATAGTTTTTAGAAGGAAACAATAGTTATTTGAAGAAAACAATACTTTTTATAAGGAAACAATAGCTAGCCTCATCTATGGTTAGGAAAACCATATTTTATTAAGAGCCATACCGTAGGTGAGTTTATCACCTACAGTTTCATATGCAAAAATGAATATGGGAACACCAAACCATAGACCATCCATGAAACAGTTGGCGTTTTTGCTCGTCTATGGTTTTCTTGACTATCTTTGGGTATTAAATAACAAGTAATTAGAGAAAATGGCTAGATTTGCATTATCTCTTTTTTAAATGTTAATTATTAATTACTTAATTTTATTGGTTTGATGGCATTTTAAAATGTCTGGAACTCTTAAAAATATATGGATCAAATGCATTTTTATTTCCATCGTATTCCTTCTTCTAACAAATTTTGGATTTTATCGATGTGTAATGATGTTAATTAAAGGGAAATTAAGTAATGTAACCACATTTTAATGTGTATTTGAAAACATAACCAAAAAATTGTTTTTTTTTGGCAAAAATAACCATTGGTCCGGAATGGACATTTCAGACCAAGGAAAAATACCTTTTCTAACAAAAAATACATTTCAAACCGACTTCGGAACGACATTTTAGATTCTGGATCAACATTCTGGATTTCAGACTGAAATTTCGGATTTTGAAAAAAAAATAACTCTAAAATTTCAAGATTAAGTCCGAAATCTGATAAATAATTCCGGAATTTCCAAGAAAAAAAATTCATTTTTACTTAAACCTAATAAAAAGTTAAACAAATATAGTAATCTGAATTATATAAAATATTAATGCACCAAACTAGACATTATATTGAAAAACGGTAATATTAAACATTTCGAAATATAGTATTTAGAATCTCAAATAAAAATAAAAAAAAAGTTTTTTTGAAAACTAAAATAAAATAAAAAAAATTCAAAATATAAACATTATTGAAACCAAGGCATTATAAAGAAAATAATTATTTTTC